CATCTCTCTCTAACCTTATTCTTACTTCAAGCATCTTCTAGTTTAAGTAAAAGATCTTTCTTTTAGCATTCTCTTTTCTTGTATTTGCTAAAGCTCTGTGTGTAACCAAAGATTGTTTAGATAGGTTTTCATTACCTTATATTTCCGCAAACAGTCTTGTAAAATCTATATTGATCTTCTCTATCAATATATATTTTAAATTTGAAAATATTGTGTTTGTATTCATCCCCCCCCCCCTCTACAAACTGTTTCTCTTACTGATTTTTACATTTCATTCTTCCTACAATAGTTTTGATATTGTAAATTTCAAAAAAGTGTCAAAGACCTTCCAGCCTAATGGTAAAGGCTTGGGCATGGCTTAGTCATGAACCCGAGTTCGAGCCCTGGGAAGGGAGTGTTGGCGACATTTAAGTGAGGCCATGTCCAAATTTGCCGGGGATTAGTCGGGCTTTGGCCTGGACACCCTTTCAAAAAAAAATCCTTTTTGTAAAGATTTCATTATAATCTGAGTAATATGGATAATCATAGAGTAAAACAAATCGACGACATTAAAAATGAAAAAGCTAAAAGCGTCTACGAATACATTCGGAATTCGAATTCCGAAAATGAAGAAAATGATCAAACCGTTCACGCACATGTTCACTCAAACGTCAACATATGTGTTCACTCGTGCACATATGTGTTCAATTGGTTCACACAATATGTCCATTTGGTTCACACACATATTTCAATTGTTCATTAGGTTCACACATTGTTTTGATGAAGATTATAAACCTAATTTTTCAATTGTTCATTAGGTTCACACATTGTTCATTAAGTTCACACATTGTTCATTAGGTTCACACACATGTTTCAATCTTATTTGGATGTCGTCGCCTGGTAATCCTTCCAAATCCTCTATTGTTTTGATGAAGATTATGAACCTAATTTTTAACTATTGATTTAAGATATTGATCGATGCGATTAACGGTTTTTTTATTGATTGGAAGTTATAGAATAGGCCGACAAAATAGGATACGTTAAGATCATTCACTTTTTACAATTCTACCCTCTAAACTATTGTGAACCTAATTTTTTATTAATATGGTAATTAAATAATTAAATTTTTAGTCTCAATAAATAACAACCGTTGGATGTTCAAATCAACGACCAAGATCGGTTAACAAAGTTAACACGATAATCTTGGTTAGTATTTGAACCAGCCCCTATA